CATCACACAGTTCAATCTTGGTATTTCTGTGCTCGTTACAGTGGAATATTTAGCAGAGGCCTTGAAAGCAACTTGGGTCTTCACTGCACACTTAGCCACGGGAGTGCTTACTAGCTCACATACCCTCATTTGCTTTCCGCCGTTTGGGTGGTGTTCTGCTAGCCACAGTGCAGCGTGGACCTTTGCTCTGTTAGATGCCCAGGTGCTTACTGCTTTCTTGCGCATTACCGTGCGCTGCCCATGTTTTCCCATAGGCACTCTGCCCGCAGTGGTTGAGGCTGAGTTTGGGGATATTTGCAGGAGTTTCGGTACACACAGGTTAACTGAAGCACGGAAGAACCTTACAAAGATCTTTGAGAACAAGATGGAGGCTCCAATGAGTCTTTCAGCTCTAGGACTTTATGGTTTGGAATGTGAAAAGTTTAGTGACTACATTTTTTTAATAGTAAGATTTCTTTCAGTCAATCTGGCATTATAAATGGACTTTAGGGCAGTCCTAAGGTTTAACTTCAACTTCTAGCTATTGTATGCTTAGTCCTGATTACAGATCTTGCTTTCCATCACTAATGGTGCAAAGCAGCTGTAATAAAAATAACAATTTGACTTCAACTGCCTTATAGAAGTCAATAGTAAATATTTTAAAAATACATACATTCTGCATTTTCTGAGTAATTTCTACGTAGCATTGCTGTCCCAGTGCTAATATGAAATACCTTCATTCTTACTGGTGAACATCTCCAAAATTAAGCTTTAGAGGGGACCCACGAAATCCACCTTTTAGTGACACGTAAAGGAGGGAGACAGAAGGGAAGACGTCCCTTCTGTATTGATATCCAGAATCTGTTGGAGAGAGTAGTGAGAGATGTGACATAACAGATTTTGTTTAAGCATTTGATAGGAAGAAAATTTGTAAAATGTTCTCAGATCGTTTGCTTGAATGTGATCACCCTGATGTGAAATGAAAATTGCCGTAAGGAGTGTAAAATGAAAAATCATCATTCAGTAAGGGTATTTGGCACTGTGCTTTATAATAAAGTCCACTCTTTTCAGGTATTTCCAAGCTATGTTTTGTTTCGTTCTTGGACAGAAATTATTGGCAGATAAAAACCTTTTGGGGCTGATGGGGAAAGGTGAGACTTCTCCAAGCAAAAAGCCAAGACCTTTGTAACCTAGAAAAGGGGAAAGAGATTCCCAAATAGGAAAGTTGTTGAAACACGGAGAAAACTAGGGAAAAAATATAAACAGTGGCAAGAAAGCCAAAATGCCTGCGAGACTGGAGATAACAAAATGACAGGAAAAGAACTGATGAACTACTGAAGATTTGAAGAAAAATAGATTTTTAAAAAATGTTGGAAGGTGTGTGTTAATGGTAATTTTAAAAGACTGTCCATCCAGCTAGACTGAGAGAGAACTGGTTGGGCAGCTATTTGTAATTTTATTACAGGTGTTTGTAAATCTGCTAAAAGTCATCTTTCTTCAGGTTTCCGCAACGCCTCGTAATTGTGTAGAATAGTTTAGGAGAGTGAACAGTGGAGGAGGAATAGTCTGCGTTTCTAAGAGGTGAAGGTTAGACTCGGTATCAGAAGTGCTTTTGTCTGAGGGAAACTTATATGCATTTAAAGTTCCAAGAGGAACAAGTACAGCAGAAAGCCATCCTGCTCTGGAGGGCTTGCTGGAGGCGGGAAGCGGAGTTACTGATGTCAGGAACATCCTCATGTTCTTCTAATGCAAAAGTCCTCAGCGGGATTTTATGAGTGTCCAGTTCATGACAAGAATGCTTTGGATGTCTTGCAAGACCTCACAATATCAGATTACACCTGAGCAAAGGGGAAACAAACTGTTTCTCTGGGCTCTGTGCCGGTATATGTGTGAATCTGTTTCTCTGTGTTGTCAGCACTCTCTGCTATCTGATAGAAAAACATTTTTTCCTGCATTTCACTCCTGTTTTCTAGCTTTGCAGGTTCTTCAGCTTATAAGTAAGGAGAACTGACTGTCCTGTTCGAGTCACCTGCATTTGTATCTTAACTTGGGTGTGATCTGAACATCAGGGCTAAGCAGGTGAAAATGAGGGGTTAACTTGATGTACTTCCTTACCCAATTCTAAATCTACGAGACAAAATGCACCACAATTTATTTTGAGCCCAGCTGTATTGCTATGTCTGTCCAAGTTTGTTGCCTGAAATATTTTATTTGTTCAGCACTTTCCAAATGTGTTCCATAGGGAATGAAAGGATTCTTGGATGTAACCGTTCATATTTGGAAGCAGAAAAGCAAGTAAATAAGCATTGCAGGACCTCTAAAAAATGGGTATCCTAGAAGTATAAATATGGTCAAGAAGGGAAAGGAGCTAAGAAGGAAAAAAGCTGATAAAGCTATTCCTCTCTGAGGGGGTCAGAGGGGATTATATTTCACTGAAAATCATAGACCCATGTGATCCAGGAGGTAATACTAGCAGGATGTAAATGTTTACAGCAGTATTGTATTTTAGAGTAACAACTTTCTTTTTGTGGAATGTTGACTTACGGGTCAAAGAAAAAAATACTTGGACATACAGCAGATTAATAAACAATGCATTTATCATTTTTATAGGGAAAAATGAAAGATGGGATGTTTTGTTATACTTGCCTTCATTGGATTGTAACCACATGTTCCAGAAATGAGCGTTTAAAAATATTGCATGTAGCTTTTTTTACATGTTGCTAATTTATAGATATGACCTTTTCATATTGTGAAAAATAATCTTAGTCTTCCTCAGTATTTGGCTTTCTTCTTTGATTAAAATCCCAAGGTGGGATGAATGTGCTGTGTGACTGAAATTAATCTGTTAGCCTGAAATTGCTGGAGGCATGTTGGCATGCCGACTGCAGGCAAACACTGGAGATTGCCTTGATTTGAGGGAAATTGTGTCAAAGTAGGTTTGCAGGACAAGTAGGTGTAGGAGACAGTTTGTAGTAGTTACCTTGTGCTCTCGGAGCCAAATTTTGCTGTTTCTGCTTCAGTGCTCTCAGTGGGGGATAGCTGGAAGTTTTGCTGGGAGGATAATTACAGTATTTTCACACAACTGTTGATTTCTGTCTTGATGGCATTTGTTTTATTCATTGTGCATGTTGATAAAGTGTGCATGGGTGTATGTATGTGTGTGTATATTTATACACACTATGTGTGTGTACATACATACACATATATAAACGTAAAAGGTATTTTATTCTAAAGCTAGTCTGCCTTCTAGAACAAAAAGGGGCTGTTTTGGGAGATGCTGAGTGCTTCTCCTGAACAACATTTTCAGTTAAAGGCCTTGTACTACAGAAACGACTTCTGAAGTCTTTTCTTGGTTTTCAGTAGAGAGATTTTCTTGTATTTCCTTGCATAGGTTAGGATCAGAAGTAAATATTGAATGAAGAATTAGAAATCAAAGGTGAGATTAAATCTCTTGTGTGTTTGAGGGCCATATTGTTAGGTATTTCTTCTTCGAAGTTCCTTCACTAATTTTATTGGAAAGCACTGCATCTGAAACTTTTTATCAGTTACCAGCTTAATGGAGAGGTATAATTCTGTTCTTGGTTGTATCAGAATAAATACTGTGCTTCTAGTGGCTCTATTTTCAGAAAATTAATGTGGGGGTTTTTTTTTTCAGTTTAACCGAAGGAGATTCATCTCTTTGTGGCTCTAGATAACTTTTCAGTTTCAGCAAAGAATCTTGCACCATTCTGTGAGTGGTGGATATTTTTAAAAATCCAGTCTTTTTCAAAATAGTGCAAAGAAGTTTTGAAAAATAAATATTCTCTAATCAGTGTTTAGCGCTGCTATCGCTGTGTGAACACAAAGACTAGCTTCTACGTAGGAGTAAATGAAAATCTACCCTTTTGGATGTCTTTTTATTGTTTTTTCCAGCCTTGATTCTGGCTCCTGCGACCCCCAAAAGAAGACAAATCTAAAAATCCAACTTAAATTGTCAGAAAATACGATACTGGAATGAAGAAATGACTGCAGAAATGTTTTTCACAATTTTCAGACCAGCTATTCTTCAGAATAAAAATCAAGATGCGGAAAAAAAATTATGGGAGAGAATACCTAACACACAAACCCAGACAAGAAATACCATCCAGAACGTCCTGTCAGCTGAAGTCATATGACCCAGCATGTTCATTACCTATTCAGTGTATATTTTAAAACCAAATAAAGATAATGCATATGTAAAAAAACCAATATTTGTAAAATCTGAACAGAACTGATGCCCATTGTAAGCAGAAGGATCGTCTCTCTCCCATCTGTTTGAATTCTGTTTTTTCCTTACAGAATATATCCAGAAATGTTTCAGAGTGTTAAATATATAGCTGGGTGTAACAAGAATTACAGAAAACAGCAGCGAATGTGGGCATTGAGGGTGGCATGTGAGACTTCAGAAGCCAGGACTTAAGTTATGGGAAGTCATCCTGAATAACCTCTATTTTTGTTTGTCTTAGTAGGTGGTGTGCTTGGGAGTGCAAATGCCTTAACTAAACTTTTGTCACAGGCCAGGTGCTTTGGTTATTCATGTTTTCTCTCTTTTTTTTTTTTTTTTTTACCTGGACAATGCAATGCTACTTCTGTATAATATGTTCAGGTGTAAGGTAGATGATCATTATATTTGGAAATAAAGTAGGTGTGTTTTTCTTATATAAAAGGTCTTAGTTCTCGCTTGAATAACTGACGCTGATCATTGATGGTTAGCTGTAGTTACTATCTCTTAACTCTAAATATTTGTCATTCTTGCTACCTCTCAGAAAGCTGCTTCTCCCCAGTGCTGCTCTTAGGCTAGAAGAGATTAATTCATTTACTTACTCAACACACTGAAGTGTGCAAGTGGAGAATATGGGAGATTTTTGCGTGACTTTTAGAGACATAGATTTCAAAGCCTTCTTACCTGTTGTACTCTTGTTTGCCTAGACCTAATGTGTTATGTGGGACCCAAGAGCGATAACCTTAGGGCAGAAAAGCCCGGTAGCCTTTTTTCGGGGGCCATGGGCCATGGGGCGCACAGAGGATGGCTTCTCCCCCTGCCGATCCGCAGTTGCAGAGTGGGTTCCAGGGCCCTGGCAGGGGAGAAGGGGGGAAGCCCTGAGCCTGCCAAGCTGCCCCGAGTCAGCACCCAGGACACCGGAGGGGCTGGGAACCCCTGCTGTGGGCATGGCTCGCTGGCTGCGGACGGTTGTTGCTTGCCAAGGGCTTGGATTTGGAATGTTGCAGAGGAATACGCCCTGGGGTTGTTGCTGCCTGGCCCCCAGCACGCTTCGTCCTTGTCCTCGGAGCCATGCTGTGGCTTTTGGTATGCTGGAGATGCCCCCCCACCTGCAGTGCCTCGTGCCCACTTGGGTCAGCAGCGGGGTAGCAGCTGGGGACCAACTGCGCTGCTACACTGCGTTATCCTTCTGCTGGGAGAGAGGTGAGGAAAGAAAGTTGTAATTGCATTTAACATAACCCCTCTGGTCTCAGATCAATTTAAAATGGCTGTTTGTTATTCGCATCTTTATTTTTATTAGTAGAAGACAGAAGCATATTAGTAAAATGATGAATGACATGTTTGCTTATTGTGGGTATTGATTGCTTTCACTTTGTGACAGGACTGAAATGCACACACTTGAGAAAATCCAAGTAGACTTTATGCACTTGACACGTTCGACTGAATTGCAAAGGTCTAAGAATTTGTTCTGGAAATTAGTTCAACATGACATGTGTCTGAAAGAGCTGCTCTTTTGTTACATGTATTATAGGGCTGGATTATTAACTGAAAAACAGTATCAGCAACAAAAATGTAGTAGGGGATTTGTGTGAGATTGCCCTTTGTCCTGCAAGCTGTGGCAGAAGCAGAAGTGTGAATGAACTGCATAGGAAGGAGTGTTGAGCTCAGTCTGGTAATCAAATGTTCTGTTATAGCTGACACTTATCTTGTGAGTAGGGCTGAAAGTCAAGTGCCTACAATCAGCAGAGAAGTGTAGATGCATTTTCATTATAAATTAAGTAGTCTAATTGTATTTGGTTGAGTTTTGTTGTGTTTTTGTTTTTTTTTTTTTAAATTATATTAGGCCCTTTCCTGGCAAACAGAAGTATTTTGTGATGCTTTTAAAAGGGCACGTGTTTTGTACGTTGTGAGAGTGCGGTTGTGGCTCTGATGGGACCTGACAGTCCAGGCACACCCTCGTCAACCTCTTCACTCTGTGATTCAGACTTGGAACGTTCTTAGGATTTTAGCCATGTGTTTTCAGGCTGTCTCCCGTGCTGCCACTTGGGAGCAGCTTCCCATAGACCCGGCTGGCTCACCGCTTGTGGTCAGCCCCTCCTTACAGTGCTCTGGTCTTCTTGTACCTTTAACAAAAAGGAATTCTAAAAAAGCCATAAGAAAAAAAGTTATTTTGCTGGGGAGGGTGTGTGTCCCACTTCCAGTTGAACTGTCTTACTAGTTTTTTCCCTATGTCATAGGTTTTCTTTTGTCTCCTGTCCATATCAATCCCTTGGGACTTCCCCTACCCACCTATATATTTGGGTTTATTTTTTTGCCTTCTCAGTATGCGTTGGTAGAGCTTATTCTATGAATGGTGTTTGTAGACAATAATGATTAAAAGAATTAGTAATATCCAAATTCCTCAGGGTAAAGATTCTTCACCTGAACGTAACACCATGCTAGAGGACAACTGACAACCCCTGCTTACTTTATTCTAGTGGATTTTTTTTAAGTACAGGCTAAGATCCTCACTTGTGCTTGCTGTTTCATAAGGGGTTGTGGTCGTTTGGAAACTCTTGCTGAGGCTGTATTGGAAAATTAATAATTTATTTTCAATTGCTGCATCTTTCTTTCATTTTCTATTGCAGCAGAAACCTTTTCAGAGATTAAAGTATTACTGAATGCATTAGAACAGTTTCTGTGCATTTTCTCATCCATAAAATTAGTCACATTAGGTGAGATGCAGTAGATACCTTGTGAGTAACCTGGTACTATTTCCAGATAATGTTTACAGGTAATGAGAAATGCATGGGAATATTTGACAGTGACTTTAAAATTGTTTCAATAAAGCCTATAACATTAATAAAATATTGAGAGGGACAGGAATAAATTAGGCAAACTGTCTCACTTTTTAAAATGTTCTAAAATACATGAATCCTGTATATATGAATACACGAATCTTATTTTTGAGTTCTTTATATTCAGATTAAGTGTTTTGCATCATGCTCTTTTACATTTAAAAAGTCATGTAGCAAGATTTATAGATGCTATAAATCTAAAGGAAGTTTTTTAGTCCAAGAGGGAGGAGAGGATTGGAAGAAAAAGCAACGATTTCATCAAAAGCTTTACTATTCAGTTCTGTAACAGGCATTCTACATCTGCTTGTCATTCGAAGAAGCCCCAAAAGATGAATGGATAGTTCATTCATTATACGGTGCCAGCAGGGAGTCACCTTATTCAAATAATCTGACTGGTACTGTCAGTTTGGCAAAAATCCAAGTTTTAAGTGATAGTCCTTAGATTTTTGTGTGTGTATGTGTTTGTTACTGCAGCATCTTTAACCCTTAGGGACAAAGGATACAAAGGAAATAATCCTGTAAAGTATTGAAACTTCGGCGGGTGCTGAAGGCGTTTGGTGCTTTGTGTCGACAGGTCCACTAATGGTTTTACAAAAGAAAGAACGAATAAGTGTTGGTGACTTGACACCAATGATTCCAGTAAACCCTGGCATCTCTTAGAAAAATAACCAAGAGGTATACCAAGGCAATGTATGCTTGCAGTATATTAAGGTTGTTGGATCTAGCCTTCTGATGGAAGAACATGAAATCTGTAGGAGAGACTTCTCTGATAGTTACGGGCATTCATTCATTTAAATTCTGGCTCCAGAAAGTTATAATTACACTTCTTTGGGAATCTGTTTTACTTGTTGCTGCTGAGACTTTTTGGTACTTTGACGTGTATGGGATTAAAGTTACAAATGCTGTGTTGTCAAAGTCCTAAGTCATTACTGTGTTTTGATGAATAGCATTTAGAACAAATAAAAGTCTGCCTTCAAAATGGTTTTGCTCAGTCATTCTGCAGTGGGGTGAGCACTTAGTCGTTCAGATAATACTATATAACGATGAAGAGGAGTTTGATAGAGACTGCTAGCATGGATGTAGAATATTGAATGCGAAGGAGGTATCTAGAAAAAGAGAGGCCGAAAGCTCCTTCGTGACCTCTCTGTGGTTCTGTACAGCCACGTAAAACGGACCTGTAAAGAGCAACAGGGGCACGCTGCTGAGTGACTGTCTCAAGGGCTGCGGCTGTGCTTGTGGGGAGCCGAACAGCAAACCAAAGTCCTAGGTGCTTGGCTTTCTTTTTTTGTTCTAGGTCAGTAGGCAGATTTTTAGTGGTTAACATTGCCTGCGATGTTGTGAATGGTTCACTGGCAGACTTGAAAGGTAATAAAGTGATAGCTAAACAAGTTAAAGTTCTTGTAGTGTCTTCTTTCAGTAATTTGAAAGGTCTAGCTTCAGAAAAGTTTTCATCTATCCTGTTAATTGTGAAATGTCTAGGAAGAAGGTGTGGATTTCTTATAAATGATTCTTTAATGTGCTGCTTAGTATTAAAAGACGTGACAAAACTTCTCTCGGTGGGGAAGAATTTGTATGTGTAGTTTATGAGCATGTATTTATACCTGGACTGCTTCTGGTATCCAAATCAATGAGCAGGTCCAAACAGCATTTCTGTTCCTTTTTTATTGTCTACAGTAATTTTCCACTGAAGCGTATTTCTTCCCAAAATTACTCTGACATGAGCTGCTAATCTAGAATGAGAAATGTGTGCTCCTCTATCAGGAGGCTGGCTAAAGTTGTGTCATTGCTCAACCTTGAAAATGAAGCAGCTTTCCCCAGCTGGCAAAATGAAGATTTCATTCGTGTTTCTAGCTCTGAATCATCCCCAGGTATTGCACCTTAAAATAAAAAACCTAATGTGCGTGTACAAGATTCTAGACTCTGTTTATAGGAATCAAACAGTAGGTAGTTTTTTCAGTCTCCAGGGCTGGCTTTGTAGGTAGGAAGGTAAAGAAGGCACTAGCAAAACATGTGCTTTCGTCTGAAATATGTCTAATTTATTTTTCTCCTGGTGGTTAGTAGGAATGCCTACAAAATATTGTGCAACAAAATAGTGATTTTTGTGCAGTAGAAATGAAAAGATTGTTACTTGATTGTAATGATCTGTACATAATGCTCCTCTTAACCTTTGACCAATGCAGCTATCTAAACTTCCCAAATGCTCCTAAGAATCCTAAGATAGTGCATAAGCTGTTATTTTTAATAATTCAAACACAGCAATACTTTCATACATTAGCGAAATACCTTTCCACTTGTGGGACTTGGGGGGAAGGAGAGGTTGGTTTCTGCTAGAGGATGCTCCATGGTATTTCTGGTGTTCTGCCTCTACTCCTGATAGTTTTGGTGTCATGGCTGAAATCAGTGGGCTAAATTAATCATCCACAAGTTCTAGACGGAGGTTTGCGGCACGCTGGTACTGGCTCTTTTGGATGTGGCCTTTGGAGAGTGTTCTACCATTTTGAAGAGCCATAGAAATTAAAATTTGGGGACAACTGAGTTTTGTGTAAGTAAAAGAAGAAAGGTCATGTGATAAAGCAGTTGAGCTGGGACTCTGAGTATATGGTATGCAGCCTCTAGGTTACTGGCGACAGCGGAGGAGTTTTCTTTTGGTGTCAGCAGAGACAGAGAATTACGCCTTGTTTTAGTCGTATCAGTTGGGCATGCGAGTGAAAAGAGCACACCTAGTACCGATGTGCAGACACCAGGAATCTTGCAGAGAAAGGTCCTTCATCTGATCATTTGAACTTGCCCTTTCAGTTCGCAATGGGCTGTGTTAGACACTTAGTTATCTCCCAATTAAATTGGAAGGCTGAATTATTCTGTATAATAAGATGCGAGGCAGCTAAATGTAAAGCACTATAGCTTTTTTCATAGTATTGCATTACTGAAATTGCCTTTTTGAGGCGGAGAGTGGCGTGACTGACACGTACCTCCTTCCTTGCCTTGCAGAAGGATGGAGAAGGGGGTGCTGAGGAGTAGCTCCCGGTGACAGTTCCTTGGGTGTAACTGAGCTGCCTTCAGCCGCGTGCACACGAGGTAGCAGTGGCGCCCAGCCAGGTGCTGTGCTTGGTTAAGGTCAGAGGGATGGCCAGGAGTAAGTATGAGGGGAAGTAATAAGGATTATGCAGTCCATACAGTCCAGTTAATTGTATCTGTAACGTAACTCTCCTGCCTTCAGTTTTAACAACAACAAAAAAAAGTGTATACTGTTTTCCCAGCCCGTAAAGCATGTAAGTAACTTTGCACGTTAAGAGATCAAAGGGAAAACTACCCAGTGTTACCTGAATAATGCAACATATTCAGTATTTTCTACAGGAAAATATGAGGGGAGGGAAGCATCAAAATCTATGTCTTGTTTCTACTCATCTGAAGTAAGCCTCTTTACTTGAACTCGCGTATTTGAGGTGTAAGTTTTGCTCTGTCTGTGCTTTCACGTTTAATATTTCCTTAGTGTCTAAAAATTTACAGAACTTCAGTGATGTTTTCTTAACTCATATAACTGTAAGCTAAGACAGCATCAGGAAATGGGATTAGAGTCAGGAGGTGCTTTTAACCTTAGATTTCACTAGATTTTTTTTTTTTTTTCCCCCCTAAATGAATTTTTATTTTGGTCTCACTGTCCACCAGTCAGAAGTAGTTTCTTAAGACAGAAATTTCTGCTGACATGTCAACCTCAGACTCTGTTACAAAGTTTTAATTTGATGTCACAACTGCAGGTTCAAAGCAAGGTCTTGCTTAAGACAGATAATGATGCTTGCTTAAGACAAGACTCAAGACAGATAATGAATAGATTAACCAGCTGTATTGCACAGCTCTAATTATGATGTTATCTACAAAATCAAACTCCTCGGGGTTATAGCTATATGGCAAAAAAAAAAAAAGCACATTTGATATCTTTAGTGTTGATCCAAAGTGGCCCCAGAGGTACTGAGTCACATGAGTAAAGGATTGTGAATATAGCTTTGAATGTAACCATGCATCATTTCTTCTTGTTTAACAGTGCATTTTAGACTACTCTTGCTTTTCAAATATTTTTCTTGCCTTGGAATATTTGAAAATAGCTAGTTATGTAAGAAGGATAAATAAAAAGCTCTGTGTATTTATAACTGATTTTCTTTTTTTTCTGAACAGGAATGAACATCTGCATAGATGCTCTCAGTGCAAGGTTGCTAAATACTGTGGTAAATCTTGTCAGGTAAGATGAAAAATAGCAGCTCTGAAGGGTTGAAGAAAACAGGCATTTGAAGACTTTATTTACAGGGTCTCCATGCACTTCGTGCATTGTCATACCTCCACACTGCAATTTCTTAGTTGTAGTTATGGACAGAGTGTGTAAACATGCTGTCTTGTTTTATTTGAATATTTATAGAGTTGCAAATATAAGATTATAATGAGTGCAATAGACAAAACTAAGCTGAAACATGGTGTTTGGCTGTGCTTGGTTAGAGGGGGAGGAATAATTCTTCAGCTTTGCTGGCTGTAGGCTGAGGGCTCTAAGTCAATTTTGCAGTAAAACAATTTGTATTTCAAGAGTAATTTTTATGATGGTAAAGTATATATTCCAGTTTTTTTAAGAGGAAATAAGGGTCAAGAATGTGCAGAGAAGAGAAGAGCTTGGGCAAAACTGCATCTCTGAGGAGGGTATCAAGAAGATGGAGCCAGGCTCTTCACAGTGGTGCCTGGAAGGAGGACAAGGGACAACAAGCTTAAGTTGAAAGAAGAGAGGTTCACGTAGGATATAAGGAAAAGCTGTTTCACCCGCAGGACAGCCAAGAGGTAGAACAGGCTGGCCAGGGTGTTTTTGTCGTCTGCATGCTTGAAGGGTTTCAGGACCCCACTGGATAAAGCTCTGAGCTGGGTCTGGCCCCAGAGCTGACCCTGCTCTGCAACTAGAGATCTCCATAGATCCCTTCCAACCTGAATTATCCTGTGATTCTATCCTATGAAACAGTTCTTAAAGGTGTTCAAACCTAAACCCTTAGCTTTTATATTGGGCTTGTATTGTCTCTTAAGCACATGTGCAGAAGTTGGCAGGACGTGGTACTGAGTGGACACGCGAGGGTAAATCACTGTGTAAGGTCTAACCAGGAGAACCAGGCACCTGAGATTCGAACCATGAGGGTCACCTCACAGAACCCTCGAATTTTTAAATGATTCCTCTTTGCTTTGCATTGTGATTTCTGTTTGTTTTTCTAAATAGAGAAAAATGAAGAAAACCAATTAATGGTCAAAACGGACTAGTAGTGATACTCTATTAAATGTATATGAATTTAACTTTTAAAATTAAGTCCTTGATATTCAATAATGCGCTTCTATAAACAATTCTGCCTTAGTATAATCTGCAGTGTTCTCAACATGCCAGAAACCCCTCCTTTTTGGGATTAAAACATGGAGGGAGAAGGGAGGAAGATATGTCATTTTGATTCATTGTATGGCAAATGTGTGCAATGAACATTAGGCGCTTACTGTAGCGTCAATAATAATGCCACAGATAGATTTATTGTGGGAAATCATAAGGAAAATATGACTGTGAAGAATATAAAAGGCCAGAGTATTTGCAAGGTAAGTTTAAAACAAATATCTGCCAGGAGAGTCATTGGTAAAGCTTCTATTGACGAGTCTCTAATGTCAAATGAGACTGTGCTGGCAAATCTGCAAGGTGTAATACAATACCCTGTTCCAGCTTAGGTGTAGTAGCAATGAAAGTAGGAAATGGGGCTTCCTCCTTGGGGAAAACAACTACGTGAACGTGCTTGAAGGATTCACACTGGATAGCCTGAAGCCATGTTGGGTATCTTTGCTTTGTGCTTCCAGCTCTAGGGTTCGTGTCCTTGAAGCCATCCACAGTTGTCGGTATTGATTTCAGTGGGACAGGCTACTGCTGCTAAAAATAATCTGCATTTAAAATGCTGTGTATTTACTGTTACATAATATCTTGAACTGTTACTATAAATAAATTAATATTGAATTAATATTATATAATATCCTGTGATATTAGATAATAATTGAGAATAACTGAAAAAATGTTGCTTTCTGGTCAAAACAGTGAATTTACTGGGACTGACAACTGAGGACAGATGATTCAGGTAAAAATGAGACCAGCCAGATCTGTTTGCTTTTGAGGACTGTCCTCTAATTCATATTTCTTTTGATAAACTAGCTAAACTACTGTGCAGTTCTGGTTTTATAGCAGCTGTTAGCAAAGCTCTCCTTGGCCAAGCCAAAGGCTTTGTGCTCTACTTAGCTTCTGTAGCTTTAGTGCAATTCATTAATATGTGCACTTCTAATTGAACTAACTGCTGAACAAAATAAACAGCAGGGTATTGAATGAAATTGCAGTTTGCCCATTTAAAAAAGTGAATATTGGCAGAACAGGACTATTTTAGTTTTATAAATACAGATAACTTCGAAATGCAAATTGTGCGGTTGGATTTACAATTTACACTTAGTTGCAGAATGATTTGATTATTTTTTTGATGTGTGTTAAATGAATCCTACTACTTAGCTTAGGCATAAAAGCTGTCAGTTTTCTGGAGTTTTCTGGTTAATACATTAAATGAAATCAGAATTAATGTAAAAATCTGATTTAAAAAAAAAGATTAATCTGAGTAGCTGAACTAGGTTTAGCATAAAGGTGGACTTTGTGATGGAAATTTCAAAGTAAATGCAGCAGGGGATTTCTATGTTAGGATGTACCAAAATGAGCCATTTTTAAAGCTGCAAATATCTTGTAAAAATCTTCATTTGATTTAAAATGTCAGGTCGTTAAGAAAAACTGTCTTCGGGCTAAACTATAGGAAAAGAAATAGTCTTTTGAAAGATGTTCCGTTTTTGGAACTTCCTGTGAGAATTGTTATCCTTTAAGGAGATATGTGGGCAGAGCCAGGACTCCTGAACAAAACTATACGGGAATTAGAATTTCGATTTGTAGAAATCTCCATAATGTCAATATTGAAAATTTCAAGTGAGTTGTGCCAATTTCAGAATTTCCCTTTATTTGTTTTTCAGGCCAGTTGAAGCAGTCTGCTTTCACAATTAACACTTTAATTTACTTCAGAAAAATTAGAAATGCGGGACTGGAAATTATCACAACAGATCCTTTGGGCTGACCTTTTTCAACTGAATTCTGATTTCAGGATCAAGTATATGTAGACCTTTTGTTTTTAAACTTTTTTTTTTTTTTCAGTTGGACCTCATTGCCTTTTGCTCCTCCTTGACACTTCTCTATTGTAGCCCCTTTCACACTTGTTGATGCCCAATTTCCTGAAGCTGCCTTCTAGCAGTGTTATGTTGCCTGGATGTCCCTCCAAACGTAGAGTTACCACGTCTGCTGCTCCTCGTAATCACTGCTGTGATCTCCCCTGGCAATGTTTGTTAATTTGATACATCCCATAGATTGGAGATCAGTGATACAGATGATAATGCCTGACAAATGGGAGAGTCGCTTCGGGCAGAATTCAGAATGTGCCATTATCAAGCATTATTGAAATGGTTTAATTAAAAAAAAAAAAAAAAAAAGACATTCTGTAAAAATTTGAATGATCCTTTGGAAATTATAAATTATGTCTTTTTAACAGATCAAAACCTTGCAATGAAAAAATATCCCACTTTGAAATTTTTATTTTTATAAGCTCTAGTCTTTAACTGCTTTTCATTAGCACGTTAATCTGCAGGAAGCATTCGTGTTTTTGATTCTGCATAGGAGATAAGGGAAACCTTCATTTCATAAACATTGGTTTAGGATCTTTCATGGGGTTAGAGACCTTTGGGAGTCAGGGATAGCATATGTCTGTGCAAGAATAGACGCACATTGGCAAAACAGCTCAGCTGAAAATATGCAAGACCTTGCAGGCAGATGTGAGGGGTCTTTGCCCGTGCCCTGAGCCATCAGGAGGTGATCTTGGGCCTGGGTTGTCCAGTGAAACCCAGTGATGCATTGGTGTTTGTGGTGCTGGTTTGGGGGGGCAGCCTCTCAGCTGCCACCAGTGAACAGCTATATGCTGCACTATCTCCTAAGCCTTGTGGGTGCTGACCCTTTTCACTTGGGTAGAGCCTGAGGAATTGCACTTGGGATACGTTGAGCTTGGATGAGAGGCAATGATTTGGGAGGAGATGAAAGGAGGGATACTCTTTCTGAGTTACTAAGCGTAGTGAAGCCTGGAGGAGGAGGGCTGGGTACTGCCCTGCACTGTTCACTTGTCTTTCTTTGCCTCCTTCTGATAGCATTCATTTCTAACGGGGAAAAAAAAAATCTGTTGCAAAATTGGAAGACCTTCTCTGGCAGGGAGGGGGAAAGGTCGTACCAGGTAGCCGTACCTCTTCACTGTAGTATTTATACTCATGCTGGATGTGGGATATAAAAACCTTGACTGAAAGCCAGGATACGCAGAGTTAAGAAAACCTCCCATGAAGAACTGTGGGACTAATATAAGCCCACCAATAAGTATTGTTAGAGACCGACTCTAAAAGTAGGTCTCTCCAGGGTCACAAATTTTCATGGTTTCATGTTGTTCTGTAATTTTATCCTTGTTGTATTGGTAGTGAGAAGAAATATTGTTGAATTTCATTATATTTAATGAATTTGGAGCTTTTCCCCCTCTCCCTGGCCATCTGGGAGGAAGCGAATGGCAGTCTCTGTTCCAGTGCTCCTTCTGCAGAGGAGTCAGACTAATTCCTTTTTGGCATCAGTTTCGGCCGAAGCGCTGTTTTGCAGAACTTGTGTGTGTTTGAACTTGGGGTTCTCACGTGCGAACACATCTCAAAGAAATGTGGCATATGATACTATGTGGTACCGCATATCTCATCTCATTAGGGCTTTATTGGTTGGGTAAGCTATTAATCATTTTGATGTCACCTCCAGCATGTTTAAAATTCTGTGCAACATTTATGTATGTAAAAAATTTTACAGATAAAGGCTTACTCCAAAGAACAATTTTAGTTTGAGTGGGATAAAAATGCCAATATAATTATATTAACAGAATGATGTCTGGACATTTACAAGCATGACCTTGTTTCTTCTAGACAAGAATAATTCTATTCAGCACTAACTTTTATTTGTCAGACAGCATGTGACACTAACTGTATTTGGATTAATGCCTTCTTGGTGTCATTTTTCCCCCTTGTAGAATTATGGGTAAAGGAAATGAAATCGCAAATCTCCTATGTATCTGAAAGAAATAAAAAGTCCAACTTATTTATTATATGTAAGCCAAAGGGGAAAAAAAAACCCTGAATGAAATAGAATAAATGCTACTAGTGCTGAAACCTAGTTACCTGAAAAAATTCCCCCACTTAAATGCAGCTTAAGAAAAAATTGTGTGATAGCCTTTGTAATCTTTATAACTAGCATGTCAGCATCTACAGGTGTGATGTGCACTTGCACATATCACTGCCATTCCCTCTTTTTTTTTTTTTATTGCTGAACATGTAATTTCTTTATATTAGACATTTTATCATTTTCTGTGTGGCAGTTACCTGACAGAAGCTGTTTTTCTGAGTTCCTTTTTTTCCCTTACTGCATATCTATGAGAAAATGTCACCTTCAGAAGCCCTTGGTTATTCTGAGTTCTTGTCATTGTAGCAATTTTTTGTTGTGCCCTGTTTTTTCAATTTGCTTTTTAAAAGAGCTTGTAACAGCTGGGTGGCTTCAAAATACACTGTGAATATATAAATAAAATATGTAAATATGTACTATGTTAATGATACGGGCTTGGAGATTTTGTAAATTACAAACAGAATTTTCAGCTTGTAAAGACAGAAGGCAAAAAAAAAAAGGTGATCAGAAATTGACTGTCTTCCAACATGTTTCTTTAGCTGAAGACTCATTCTTGTTGCTTTTCCACACTGATCTGGGGGGAACAAGGAAGGGAGGGGAGGGGGAAAAAAAAAAAAACCCCAACATATTCCAATATATAGCAGCTTTCCCTCACCTTGTCATCCTGTCTCTTCTCTGCTATGGAAGTGTTAGTATTTGTCTACTACTCTAATAAAAGTGGCCCGTGAAACAAAATTGCAGGTTCAGGTAGTACATGCAACTAAAATATTTTTGTTTCAGTCTTCTATTTTGGTAAATTTTGGTTACAGCGCCCATTCCTGGTCTGAACTGTGAAAACATCATCACCAGTCCTCCCAGCCATGGGCATTAATGCCTCATCAGCTCAGGGATCTTTGGGGACAGTTTTTGCAGCATGGAAAACTTGACCATTGTCTTAGAGCAGCTGCATTTTGGTGAAGTGGATAGACTCTGAAGGCCTCTGTGGTCTTGACTGCTGAGTGAACGCTTGCCTAGAGTGTTGTGTATGTTGGCGGAATTAAGATAGAGGAAATTTTAGCATCCCTTCTAGTTCTCTCCAATCTTGTGAAGTATGCAGCTCCATCTCTTCTTACCACAAAGAAATAAGAATCAGAGCCCATTTATTTATCTAATAAAAATTTCAGCTAGCTGGAATGGTGATATCAATTTGAGCTAAGCTGATGATGCTATTTATAGCATATTCCATAAAGGTAAAGAAGATGATTTCTGTAGCAGGAACATGGGACAAAAAATGAAGGTATTTGTTCTAGGTTTCTGTGCAGTTTTCATTCTATCTTTACACGTTCTTTTTGTGCATTAAAGGCATCAGAGACAATGTTTGAAAAAGTATGGTACGAACTATGTTGTCAGACAGTAGCATGAAGCAGACTGAAGTAAGGTTTGTATTGACAAGGAACTGGACTGGGAACTCGATCATACAGTTTTTTGCTTGTGTTTCTCTTAGGTTTTCTTAAAGGTAAAGTTAAATTCTGGGGTAGCATAATGGTGATACTGTTGTGTCCTGTATCTGCGCTGCTGTAGCTCCAGTGTTTATAGTATCAATTACACAATTAATTATGTTAGAGGAGGGAATGGCGTGATGGGGTTGGTTTGAGTAGGCAACCCAGCCCGTCCCTTTCCACAACACTCATGTTATAGCAGCAGTCTTAGACTATGTTGGTAAAGCATGTGTGCTGCTGTTTCTTTGGCAGTCGGCATCCGAGGTTGCCAGAGTCAGTGGACATCAGCACCCGGGGAAGGTCCCTTTCCTGGTCCTTTGGAGCTGACTTTCAGCTTTGCAGCCATTCCTCCCAGCCCAGCTCAATGGCTGTGATGCTGTCGTGGTTCTGGATCCCCAGGTCCAGCCCATGGCGAGGCTGAGCGTGTTTGTGCGCGTATATAAATATAAATAACTCTGTGTATATATATATATATAAAATATATGTGTAGATATATAAAAAAATAGGGTATATCTTATGTAAAATAACATGCAGCTTTTTCTTTCTTTTCCTTTTTAAAAAATCCTAATAGAAAGAAGCTTGGCTGGACCACAAGCAGGAGTGCAGGTGTCTTAAGAGCGTCAAGCCTAATTTTCCTCCAGACTCTGTCAGACTTGCTGGCAGGATTGTTTTTAAACTAGTAAGTGACATTCTTTTAGATTTATTCAGTGTAGCAGATTCAGATGAATACTTTCTCTCTCTACATTTTTAATGTAATTAAGAGCTAGAAAGCTGAAGTGACTGGGATTGCTGAACAAAATTGGACTGCATATTGTGTTACAAGATTACTGATTAATTTGCAGAAGTGCTGAAAGGATCAAGACATTCTAAAATGGACATAATTAAGCTCAAGGGACCTGTTTATTGACTTTCTCTTCCTATGACTATGTGGTAGCATTCTAAACTAACTTCTGCCCGGAAGGAAAACACAGAGGGACACTGTTTTTAATTCGATACTACTGAATTTACTGGTGCTTTTCCATTAACTTCATTGGGTACCTCATTCAGCCTTATTTGGATGAGTGGTAAGGACAGAAACACTGTTAGCTAGCCCTTCCTTTAGAGGGCACAATGCCATGCTTTCAATGTTGGGTTCTCTTAATATCAATTACTTTTTTTTTTTTTTTCTTTTTCTAAACTTTCTTGGAAGTCCTGGGTGTTTGACATTCCCATGGTTTGATTAATTTATGCAGACTAAATTTTCTGTTAGGTTAAGCAGCTTATGACTGTGTGGGATTGTAAATCAAAAAGGATTTGCCCATTTTTTTTCTGACCCTGCCATGATGATGTCCATCTTAGATAAAAACATGTGCATTTGTTGTGGACAATGTTGTGAGGTGATAAAATATCATTTAATATCTTAATTTGTACATTGTTGGGAAGAGTGTGTGCATGATTGTTTTTAAAGGGCAAATATGTACCTAGCTGTACTGTGCATTAATTATAGTCATATGCCATCTGAGACTGCTAACCTCATAAATTGCTTTCAATTATAGTGTGAAGGGCCAAAGTAAATTACTAAGGGTAAGCTGCTGGGGGAAAAAAAAAAAAAAAAAAGAAATTAGTGGAAAGTGTTACAATTAAAACTATTTTTATGATAGTTTACAGCAAGTATGGAATGACCAGATTTATCTTGATGCTGTTAGCCTTACCTAATTATCTTACAGGCGTATCACATTGAATAATCAATCTTGTAGAGTGTTTTCAAGATAAAGCATGCTATGTAAGTGTTAATTATCTGTTTTTCTCTACAGCTTAGACAATCAGTATGCCTTTCTGAGAGACTCTACTCTTTTTCAGATCTTCAGTCAAGTAAGTAATTGCCAACCATATTGCAGGAAATGCTTCCCGGTTCTGTTTTACAGACTGGCCATCTGATTTTCTTGCAGCTTGCCTTCTGAAGGTCCACTCTGTAGAACAACAGAATCAAAGACAAAACCTGCTAAAACCTCTGTAGGGAAGAACATTTTTTTTCAAAGATCAAGGAAAAAAACATGTGTGTCTTGTTCAAGCAAAACTTTCACCTGTTTTTTTGGCTTTAATATTTTATCTAATTTCACAGTGTACATTCTGCCTGTTCAGTTTTTAATTTAGCCAATGTTTGCCTTATTACATACAGTTCCAATATTTTTATATTCATCTAAAAAAACACATGTATTGTTTACATTGAGGTTTTACTTTTTTAATATGTATGTGCTATTGCATAAAGCTTCAAAATAACTTCCAGAAAAAGGAGAGAAATCTAAAATTTACAAGGGATATGTGTATGTCTGTCTTCCACATGACTTTTCAATGGAGAAAAAAAGATAGAATTGTGCAGATATTATTTTTGTGGTTTCATAAGTTTCAACTGCTTGCGTAGGAAAAGGATGCTCATTATAATCTCTCAGCAGAGCTAATGCCGAAATAGAAAACATTTTTTCCAGATTTTGCGGTAGCTTAAAGGTTAAAGACTTATAAGGGAAGAAATACATCCTTAGTTCATTCTTGTATCTTGCTTAAGGGGATTTTCTAGAGTAATGTGAATATTTTGATTACCTCACATTTTTTAGTGTTATTCAGAGCTTTGGCTATAAACCAGCTTGATCTATTGATAGACTTAGGTAGAAATAAAAAACACATAAACATAAAAAAATACAATAACTAGTATTGCGTTTTACTTCTGTACATCCTGACATTCTGCCACCTTCTCCCAAACTGCAAGGGCAATAAGACAACAAATTAAAAGGGATAGAGGAAATGCATTTCAATAATTTAAAACACCAGGATTTTCTGCCGTGGATATTTTCAAATCCTGTAACAGAGGTTTATGGCAAATTAGATGAATATCTGAATTAAGAGCAGCATTTCCAGGTGCTTCAAATGAAGTTAAAATGATGAAGACTACGAACTTCTATGCTTCATACCACTGCTGGGATACAGGGAAACAATTCTTTATGGTGCTCTATCGTACCATCGGCTGGTTGCACAGTGGCACAGGAGGAACTGGAGGGAAGGGAAGAGCTTCCCTTTAAAAACTAAATATTGATTGCTTGCACAGCAATTTTCTCTAGTATAGGCAAAAATTTTTGTTTAACTGATAATTCCGTACAAACTGAGGTTTCTCAGTACCCCTCAGGAGATGATCTCAGCTTCCCTTGACTTGACTGGAGACAAGGGGAATAGTGTGATAAGTTGTCTGGAGAGAAGCTTGGTATTGAACAGGCCTGAGCTGCAATGGATAACTGGTACAAAAATCTGTAAAGTGGCCGGAAGCTTCTACTAAAATTCTCATTCTGAAGGAAATGATGATTATGGCCTGTGATATAGGTGGGATGACTGTCCTCTCACTAATACAGAAACTGCTGGTCCATAGCAAGTTAATTTAGGAGGAAGCAAATGAGAGATCCACATCTAGTGTTTCATCTGTATTTACTCTAAGAGCTTTAATAACAATTCCTGTGTAATCTTCCTAACTCCAAAGCGCAAGGTGTTCAGGATTCCTAGACATTAACCGAAGTTGATACTTTACAGATTACAGTACAAATGACCTATGATGCTTGCATAATCTTATGTAAAGGTTTTGGCTAACTCCTTCCTTTTGCTGTTTTCACAGCTTCCTTGCTAGAGTGAATAGACGGTGTCTATGGTTTTGCAGTTAGAATAGTCCAAAAGAGTGTTTTGGGATCGTATGACAACTTGTAGTAACTGTGATGATTTTTGCTGCCTCTTCTCCTCAAAAAGCTACTGTTATTTCATAACATTTTTCCCATTTACTACACAATTTACAGATGGTGTTGATAAGGATTTACTTTCCTTTAGGACTTGGTAGAATCCATAGGAAAGTCAGAAAGCATTTTCATTTTTCATTAGAGGCCTAAGTATATAGGGGAAAAGATTTCATTGGAGGGAATCACATGAACTAGAAATACAGGTTGTGATCTTCTGAAGCAAAAAAACTTCTCAGGAAGCATCTGTATGATATAAGATATCATGTTTCAACATTAATCAGAAATATGACAGATAGAATTCTAATTGATACTCCTCTTTCGCCTTTCTTTCGCCTTTCTTTTGCCTTGTCCAAAATATTTGAAAATCGTTATTGTCACTATGCTGTCTGAGTCTCCTTTACACTATTACTTTTCAATGTTACTTTATATGGTTGGGTGATTTTCAGCGTGGGTGACATATAAATAAAACCATATAAAGTTTTATACACGTATCAAATAATTATCTGATAAAATATGTAATGCATATATTTAAAAAAAAAAATGTGAAGGCATCTAGCCCTTTATGAAGTTCTATTCCCAGCTCCATAGTTCCTTCAAATTAATTGTGTACTCTGAAACTCAGATCAAATGGGAGGGGTGTCTGTGTGCATTGTTACTTTGCTACTTCTTGCTTTCACTTGCCAAGATTCAGTATGCAGAAAAGAGTTTGTGTGCTGTACTATGGGCAGACTTTTTGCTACTTTATTTGTATCAGTATCAGAGATGCACAATTAAATCCCCATGCCTTATTTAGAAAACTTTCCACAGGCCTTTTATAGCATTTTCTCTCCCACACCAGGGTTCTTACACAATTGAAAAAAGTTTTTTAAAAACACAAAATGAAAACATTCACGAATTTCGTTTCACTTTGCTTTTGGCTTGGCTTCTTGATGTTCTGTGAAAACCAGGTCTTGATTTGCCATTAAAGATTCCATGGGACTTTTTGCTGGGCTCGTTAGCTCTGATGTGTGGGACAGATTCCAACGTGGATAATTGCATTCTGCTCCTGCCTCTGTGAATTCTCCCTGAAGTTCCAGTACCAGAATTTGGTATTTTTGTTCACATCTGTCCTAAACTGCAGTGTCCATTTATACTGTGCTATTTACACGATTTCTCTTCTCCGTTCTAGAGGTGTTTTATCTGCTAATAGTGAAGCAAATCATGCCTTCCTCTCTTTGTCATAATACGTTTTGCAATGTGCGTCAGGTAGTTTCAGATGAATGACATGATGTCTTGAAAAATTACATTTGAAGGAAAAAGCATCTTTAGTTTCAAAGGAATATTATATAAGAAATGCAAGTGTATGTTTATGATTTTTTAAAAAATTTTTTTAAACTTGAGTTTTCCAGTCATCTAAAAGTTTGCTGCTTTTCTCGAAGACACAGTCCTCATAGATGTGATACTTTTCTATACCAGAGATTTCCATACATTGTGAAGAGCACACATGTCTGGATTTATAAGATGTACATTCATTCAGGCTTGCAAGATCACCCTCAAATGTCCACACTGTTAAGATGCACATGGGTAGTGCAGTGGGTAGCTAAAAAAAGGCAAATACTTCGGTTAAATAGGCTTTGTGCCAGGTATGGAGGGGCATATCTCAGCATTCTTAGTACTAACTGGTTTGAACTTTGTGAGGAGCTGAATCTGATTGCTCTGGGAGAGCATGTCTCTCCTTCCCTAACCCTAGTAGGGACAGACCACCCTTAAGATTCCTCTGGAGTCATTGCTTGCTCAGCACGTTGCAGAGTCACCCCAGGCATGGCTTGTAGATGGCATTTCAGCAGCAACGATCGACCATTGGAATAGGAGCAGATCTTGGAAAGTGTTACTTTATGCTGAAATGGAAACAATATACAATAGATAATATAGATGCTTCTCGAACTCTGTATGTAGCATGAAGAGGGGTACATTTGCCATAATATGGTGTACGAGTAGGATTGCATCATTCAGCTAACAAGGGTGGCCCTCAGTGGCTCTAGAGAAAGTCTAAGTAGAACCGAAGAGTTTGCAAATAAGGAAACCCATACCAGACTAGAAGCAAATTGTGGCTGGTTCCACCGGAAGACTCCTGGCTGGTAGCTAACCATGGGTATTGGCCATTTTAGTAAGCCAGCATTTAGTGATCTGCCAGAAGTAGTTCATAGGAGATTATTAAAGCAGCTCACTTGCGTGGTGTGTGTGAAATGGAAACTCCGTGATAGCCAGTTTACAACCTACAAAATAGCCAGTACCTTCAACCAGAGGGATGGCGGGTGGGATAGAGCACAGAAGCCCAAGTATCGTACACACTAGACAGCTGTTTAACCAAACCGAGTGACATCTGCTTTAAGTGAGTGACTAGGAGATAGCTTTAAAAAGGAACACAGATCTTGAGTTGTCCTACCAGCAGGCCAACAAGTTTAGATCTAAAGTTCGGGGAAGAAGCTTTCTTGGTAAAAGGTTATTTCCATTCCCATGAAGGAGAGATGTTTAAAATAAAATAACAATTCCCCATTATGCAGAGGTGAAATTGATTCATAGTGTATAATTCTCTTTGCCCTTTGATGTAGACTGATGCTTGAATCTGTTCACCTTCGCATTCTTCATTTAGGCCTCATTCATTTTGTGCTAACTGGCAGGAAAAAGAAAATGTGAAGCAGGTAATCAGGCACTGAGCTTACTAGGGCAGCTGAGTTTCACTTTGCATGTTACCAGTGACCTGATGCATGCACGATCAGGTCATGCATTAGAAAATAAGGCACTATGTTTCTTGCTGCTTCAGGGTTCCTATCCGTAAAGCCTGAATAACAGTGCTTTAGTATTTAATAAAGTGATATTTGCTTAATATTCTTCCATATCCATTCCATTTACCAGCTGCTGTGTATGAAACTACCTTTGTCTCTAAAATACTTTCCCTTTTGATCTGCCAGCATGAAGTGTTTCTGACTATGGGGAATACAGTATAAAAATATGCACTGCTGCAAGGAGGAAGGTACTGCTGCATAAACTTTCAAGCACATTTTTAATGTTACAAACCCAGATGCCTAATTTTTGTATGTAATGTCTTACATCTGCTTACACATCTGCTTTATCTATTGGCTTTTGATCTTTAACTCATCATTGTATTCATATGATTTGGCAGTAGCAACCTGATAAACTCTTCTGTGTGTTGATAGGTAGCTGTCACAAAAATGACAAATGTCCGCCCTGTGTCAAAATTGCCCTCTGTCAAGATTAATCCTGGGACTGGAAATGTCCAGACTGTATGGCTGCCATTGGATATTTTCAAAATGTTGATGAAAGGTTCTGTTTATGACATGATATACTTTTTTTTCCCTTCCCCTTAAGATATTGAACAGTTAAGTGAAGAAATGAAAGGCGGCCTCAGGCACCTTACGCAGACGTTGCAACTGTATCTGAAAACAGAGATCCAGGATGCGTCTCAATTGCCACCTGCAATTGATTTTTTTCAGATCTTCACAAAAGTAAGTGTTAAAATGTGATTGCTTGACAACTCATAAATTATCTTTTCTGTGTGCTCTTGATTTATTTTTAAGTGGGAGCTCAGTAGGTACATCCAGAATATGATATATGACAAAGTGAAATCAAACTACTTATTTTTTCTATTCAGTCAGTATTTAAGCAGAAGTATAGCTTTTATATAATTGTAACACTTCAAAATTAAAGCAGCAGCCAGAGGATAATTTTTCTTTTCCCTTTTTAAATTATCATGGTAAAGCTCCTGGGAAAAAAATAGTTGCATTAAAAACCAAACAAGTTCAAGAACAATTGAGTCAATCAACCTAAGTAATTTTTCCATAGAGATAAAGAGCATATAGCATCATTCTTCAGCCTAGAATTTTTCTGCAAAGTACAATATCTTATATTTGCAGATATACTCCCATTCTGTTTCGTCATTTAGTAGTATGTGCTAATGGATGTTGCTGCCAGTACTGTATCCCACAAACTGCTTTCTTAGGGGTCATGTGGATCATCTATTCTGAAAGGCTACATGTAAAGTACTTGAAATTAATTTCCATAATTGTAAAATGTTTGTTATGTTATTAACTAAATATTGTTGGCTTTTGCTGTACATATTTTATTGCTTTCAATTCAGAAAGCTTCATTTGAACAACACTGCAGAAGTACTTCATATGGAGAATACTCATAGTTTTAACTTGATTTAATTTTTTTGATTTCTAATTGATTGATAAATTCTGCCATAAAGTTTCTTAACTCATGCATGTTTTAGTTGTTTTAATAAACATTTTCTAATGAAGTAAGTCAAACTTTCAGATGTTTTTCTTCTGATATAAACAAAAGGAAGAACCTCTTTTAAAAAGACAGAAAATAAAAATGCAATATAAGATTTTTAACTTTTTTTTTAATCTGCACAATTGTGGAATCTTTTTTGCTATGGACAGAAGGAGTAGGAGTAATATAATCAACTGTATTGTTTTTCTGGATTTTTTTTTTATTGGTGATCAGACTGCTGTGATGTAAAGTTACAATTTTCCCTGAAAAATCACGCAGGCTGAAATACATACAGTCAAAAGGACTCATAGATAAAAACCTTATGCGCTACCTAGTCTCCACTCAAACTTTTCCTGTCTTGTATTGGCACGCTGGTTTGGCCTGAACTTTGTCAGATGCATTTCACATAAAATACGCACGCTGTGTTATCTGGTTTAGAGAATTTGTACAGCTGAAGATAAGGCTGTGTGTCAGAAGATGATCACTGCCTAACCGGTTTGAACTGACTCACAGCTTCTAAGAAATTCTTTAGAAATGTTGTTGCCTTCTGTGCAATAATAAGGTTATTGTTAAGCTTAAGATGGCGGCTGGCCATGATGGCGTTAAAGGAGCAGTGTGATGGTTGCTGAATATATTGGAGCACTGTTGAAGAAAATAAGGAAGCTTTTTAAATTTTTTTATGTACATGCATGCACAAGCATCTGCACATATGTGCACTTCCTCTTCCCTCCCATGTATTTCACCAAGGTGATGCAAGTGGGCATCAAAGGGCAGAGTGAAAGTCAAGACCTCCCAGCTCCATATCCTGTTAACTGGAGAACTAGGAATGTTCCTGTTAATGACATTTGTCCCACTATAGCTTTGCTATTACAAAGATATTTGTAACTCAACGTATTCCTTATGTTGACTGAGAATTTGTCCCTATCCTATTGAATGTACTGCAAAGTACTGCGTTTTTAAGTTGTTGTTGCTTTTTTTTTCCTTCTGGAAATTCAGAGACTCTCAGACCATTAAAGTAGGTCTTGTTTCCTTCTTTTGCTCATTTTACGGAGTCTGTGTGATAGTCTGCCCTAGTGAAATGGAGAGCAAATGATATAGACCTATCATGGGTACAGGTACTTCATATCACTAATAATAAAAAGAATTGACAGACGGGACAGAAGAATCTGACTGAACAGGTGAGTTGGATGGCAGAAAGGAGCTGTTGACTAAAAATACCCATATGCTTTACATGTGAGTAAAATTAGTATCTCGTTCGAAGTTCTGTCAAGCACAGTGCTTTTTGGAAAGCTCTGTTGTCACTCTCTAATTCTCCATGTTGTAGTTTATAGCCTTCCCAATTTGGTTGTCAGAAGAATGTGTTATGAAATACGGCATTATATCAAAATACGGTTTTAATATGCCCCCATCCCTTGTGAAGTAGCAGCAGGCATTTTCTGCCACTCCCATAGAATGTTTTTTTGGAAGATAAGCTGAATGTCAATGGAAAAAATACTGATTTTTTTCCTTAAGATGAGTAACGATGCTTATTCCCAGCAGGTAAAATTTAAGGCTTTGGAATGGTAAAGTCTCATGATAAAAGACTTATGCAGTCTCTTCTCTGTAGTATAACTCTAAAAAAGACCAGCTGTGATGACTTCTCTGTGTGGTCATAGAATAAAGAAATACTACAGATACATGACTTCAAGATGTAATCTTGTTTTCCCAACCTCTTCCAACATTCCTTTCAAGTTCAGTAGGTGCTTATTCTAACATTGAACTTTTTTGGATCAGTTGTTTCATTTCATGCCACAAAAAGATGCAGTCAAAGGTCATTTTTTATTCTATTTGATGCTGGATCCTCAAGAAGGAAAATAAGCAGACAGCCAGACAAAAGAGGAAAACGGTCCTGCAGCGAGATGACAAAATTCCAGATAGTTCTTGGAAAATCTCCAACCTGATTTAGGTCAAAAGAGCTTTTCAGAAGCTCTTTTAAACAGTCCTCCTTCTCTGCTGGCCACTGCTCTTGTCTTTGTGAAAATTAATTGTAGTTTTATTCACTTGCTTGTGATGCTTAATGGGCAGAGAGTCTCCTTGAGTGCAAACTTGGTGAAACTTCCCATCGAAAATCAAAGAAAGTTTTGCCATTTCCTTCCATAGGAACAGAATTTCACTCCAATGTATTTTTAGTTTGCATAAGACCTATGGAAAATATCAGCTGTACTGGATGGGGAGATGTTGCAGAAGGGTAATGTACCTTCCTTTTTGACAGTGTTGCCCTGTCCTTACTAGACAATTTGCTTTTGTATCAACTGTCCTTTGAGCTGGAGTTGGATTTTTTCATTCTTGCTATCTCATCACTCTTTGGAAGCTCCAGTTTATTTAACATGCCATTTATCAAGGTTGTGACTGTTTCTAAATTCTGATCCTCGGTATTAAACAGAATTATCTGCAGTTAATTGCATGATAAGGCTTTAACTCCACTGAGACGTTTTCTAATGTCAAGATAAATTTTGACAGCATGGTTTTATGGTTTAATGATGTTTCTATAACCTTGAGATAAAATCAGTCCTTGCTTTTTATTCTTCAGCTTTTACCTACATGTGTGAGGAGGTGGCCTGGAATCCTGTGAGACATTTAATGGATGCAGTATAAAGAATTAAAGTTTTTTGAATACATTTATGGCTCTTTTCATAATAGCAGACAGACCCACATAACTACTTAAGACATTGAATGAAATCTGTATGTACCGTGTTGACTGTAAAACTGTGAGTGACTCCACTGGCTGGAATCAGGCCTAAGATGACTTTTTTTAGACCAAATATAGACTTGGTGTCTTGCATAGAATTGCAAATACTCATACTATGTCAGAATTGACTTTTTGAGCATTTTGAAATTGTCTGAAAACTTTTTTTTTTTTTGCAATTAATAACAAAAAGGAGAGATTTGGAAGTTAGATAAAATGGTAGCCATTTCAGAGATCTCCTAATTTCAGATCCTCACGTTTATAAAAATAGTAAGATATATGCAACCTCTGTCATTAAATAATAGTAAGGTAAAATCCAGTGAAAGTTAATGAATTGTAACATGACAGACTTCTAGAGCAGTTTAGTAACCTTAAAACAGTTTTGTTTTTTTTTTTTGGAAAAGAAAGGGTTTCTAAAGGATGTTTTGATGAAACAATTGATAACAAACTTTTGGGAGAAGGATGCTGGATTGAAGATTCTTGGGAACCCCATAGAGCAGAGATGATACTTTACTCCTTAAATAGCAATCCCCCTAATTTTTCTGTTGTGCAAAATTTCACTTTCTGGACAGTATCTTAACTGCATATGGGATGATAGGGATTAGAGAGATAATTTTTAGCTTTCTGAAAGTTTTAATCTTTCCTACAGTTCCAACCTTGCCCCTTCTTTCTTATGAGCAGATTCTACTTTGAAAGTAGAAGTGCTGCTTTCATTCAGTTCACTGGAGAGGTCACACACCTGTATACGTGTGAGCTGAATATGCCTCTTTATGCAGGTGGTGTGCTTCCCACCACCCTCTTCTCAGGTGCTATCCTACTCTTTCCTTTTCAGGTTAGTTTAGAATTGACACATCAATGACAGAGTAAAAACAGGTCTAAGTAAGTGTAGAGCTATAAGTCTAGGAGAGGATGAAAAAGAAAGTCAGTATCCATATACATTGGAAACGTAAGTGCATCTTTTATATGGCAGACTAATTTTTTTTCTACTTCTTTTTTTTGAGGTTTGTGAAGTTGAAATTAAAGTGAAGAAGAGGTACAAGTTTGATGCTGTATGCTAGTCTCTGTGTACCAACAGACAGTTTTAACCAAAAGACCGGTTGTCTCTTCAGGCTGCTGGTATAATTTTTTTTTTTTAACTTCAGAAGAAGTAAGGAGGCTACTGTAAAGTGCAGAGGTACATCCCTCAAGAGACAAAGTGCCCTGGTGTCTTTAAAATCCTTTGTTTATTCCTCCTATCAAAGTTTAAATATATTTTACTTGTTCTTCTAAGTTTTCAGTACTTACTTTTTATTCCACTCAATGCTTTGAAAGAGTTTCTTTTCAACATAAAGGGTATTAGTACCATTTAAAAAAAAGTCTTCTTGTTAAAGGGGTTTTGGTATTTATCTGCATAGGCAGAAGAGAACTGGGAGTTAAGCAGTGTCACTTGGCCTTTGTAAAGTCTGAATACTAAATTATGGTAATCTATTTGGGTATCTTTTTAAGTGCAAGTTGAAGGAAATAGTCTCACTTAATGATATGACT